AGAGAGAGAGACAGAGAGAGAGAGAGAGACAGAGAGAGAGAGAGAGACAGACAGAGAGAGACAGAGAGAGAGACAGACAGAGAGAGAGAGAGAGAGAGACAGAGAGAGAGACAGAGAGAGAGAGAGAGACAGAGAGAGAGAGAGAGAGAGACAGAGAGAGAGACAGAGAGAGAGAGAGAGACAGAGAGAGAGACAGAGAGAGAGAGAGACAGAGAGAGAGAGATGTACCAACTATATGAAATTGAAGAGTCCATTGACTCAAATAATTTCTGGGAAAAATGGCAAACATTCAGCAAACCACACAAAGAAGAATTGGCTATTCAAAATGGTGAAATGTGGAAACAACAATTTGAAAACCTGTATAGTACTATTACACTGAATTCGGCCCAAAATGAACTCCTCAACAAATTACAAACTCTAGAATCAGTCGTTAAAGACAACCAGAACCCTCTAGACTACCAAATTACTGAAGCAGAGCTGCTGGCTAAAATCCAGGCCCTACAATCAAGGAAGGCCAGTGGTCCCGATGGCATTTTAAATGAAATGCTGAAATTTAACAGCAAGAAATTCAACATTGCCATATTGAAATTATTCAACCTTGTCCTCAGCATTGGACATTTCCCTGACATCTGGAGCAGAGGAATTATAACACCAATCTTTAAAAATGGAAATAAATTTGACCCAAACAATTACCGAGGCATCTGTGTCAGCAGCAACCTGGGGAAGTTGTTCTGCAGCATCCTAAACAGCCGACTGCAAGACTTCCTCAGAGAACATGATGTCCTGAGCAAGAGTGAGAACACTGAACTACAGACCATATCTATACCTTTCACACTCTCATTAACAAACATGTTCATCAAAACAAGAACAACATTTTCTCTTGTTTTGTAGATTTCAAAAAGCATTTGACTCAATTTGGCATAGTGGTCTCTTCCTAAAATTAATTGCCTCTAAGGAGGCACTACAACAGCAACTAGATCATCTGCAAAACTTCTGTCAGACCTGGGCCCTGACAGTTAATCTGGAAAAGACTAGAATTATGGTCTTCCAGAAATGACCCAGGTGTCAGGGAGACCCAAACAGGTTCTTACTGGGCTCCACTGACATTGAACACACACACAACTACACATATCTGGGACTCAAAATTAGCTCTACAGGAAATTTTAACCTGGCCGTTAATGATCTCAGAGACAAGGGAAGAAAAAAGTCTTCAATCATAGATATACCTGTTAGAATCTGGCTGAAAATATTCCACTCTATAATTGAACCTATTTTACTGTATGGCAGTGAGGTGTGGGGCCCTCTTGTAAATCAAGACTTTGAAAAATGGGACCAACATCCAATTGAAATCCTGCACACTGAGATTTGTAAGAGCATTCTCAGAGTCCATAGGAACACCCCCAACAATGGATGCTGAGCTGAATTAGGACAATTTCCCCTTTTGATCAGGATACAAAAAAGAGCCATCAAATTTTACCAACACCTAAAAGTAAGTGAGCCCAAATCATAACAAAACAAAGCTCTACAAAGACAAGAGGAGAACATGGAGAAGAGCCCCCTCAGCCAGCTGGTCCTGAGGCTCAGCTCCTCTAACAGCACAAGACCTCAGAACAGCCCTCACACAATCTGGACCCACCAAATTATAGAGAAACAAAAAGAACATTACATTAACTATTGGACATCTACCACAAAAACTCAAAGCAAACTTCAATGCTATTTGGCTCTAAATAGACAGTATACGATGGCAAACTATCTGTCCACCGTGACTGATCAGAAACTAAGAAAGACATTGACCATGTACAGACTCAGTGACCACAGCTTGGCCATAGAGACGGGCAGACACAGGCAGACCTGGCTGCCCAGAGAGGACAGGTTGTGTGAGCTCTGTCCACACAGACAAGCGGAGACAGACAGAGACAGAGACAGGTGGAGACAGACAGAGACAGAGACAGGTGGAGACAGACAGAGACAGAGACAGGTGGAGACAGAGCAACATTTCCTGTTCAAATGTAACACATATGAAGAACTTAGAACCAAGTTCTTTTCAAAAATGAAACATAAACTCCAAGATTTTGATCCCCTCTGTGATCAGGAGAACATGCATCATCTACTTGGAGAAAACAGTGTCAGTGCCATAGAAGCAGCAAAATATGTCAGTGCATGTCACAGCCTGAGAGAGACACAACAACACAACAACACAGTCTCCTTATAACACTCTGCATATTTAATGTGACATGTACTTAATGTAAAATGTGTAATGTGTTATTTGTATTGTAATTGAATTGTATGTCTGTATGTATGTTCTGCTTTCGGCAACAACGGTTGATACCATTCATGCCAATAAAGCTCATTTGAATTAGAATTTGTGATGCAGGACAGATGGTAATGACGCAACGCAATATTATAAGACCACAGATTTGACACAAACATCCAATTTGAGTCAAGGGTGAACTAATTAAAATTTGATGCTCATAGGTCACTGTGACCTTGCATCCATCTCGCTCTCGAGAATGTGATGTCTCAAGACGATCGTGAGAGAATTTCCTCATATCTGGCACAAACATCACATGTAGTCAAGGATGAACAAATTAGTACTTGCTGGTCAAAGGTCAAGGCCACTGTGACCTTGCATCCATGTCACTCTTGTGAGCGCGATAGCTCTAGAGGGCCTTAAGGGAGTTTCTTCACTTTTGGCACAAATGTTCATTTGGACTCAAGCATGAACTGATTAGAATTTAGTGGTCAAAGGTCACCGTGACCTTGAATCCATCTCATTCTCATGAATGCGAATATCTCAAGAAGGCCTGAAGGGAATTTCTTCAGATTCAGTACAAATGTTCAATTTGAGTCATGGATGGACTGATGAGAATTTGGTGGTCAAAAGGTCAAAGGTCAGCTTCACTGTGACATCAAGTTTTAACATCATATCTGAGGAACGGAGGGGAGACATTGGTCAGATTGGTCTGATGTGGTGACTTGGCCCAGAACAGTCAGTGACGACTCTTTGTGTAGATGGTTGTGTGTCTGCGTTTGCCTGTGATTGGCAAGTCCACCTCATCAGCTCCTCACCTGTCAGGTGTGTCTCAGTGTCCAATCTGTCCCACAGGGAACTCTGCGCGCCTCCTCAAAGCTACATGACCAGCTCTTCCACAAGATCCTCCGCTGCCCCATGAAGTTCTTTGACACGACGCCCACCGCAGGAATCCTCAACCGCTTCTCCAAGGACATGGACGAAGGTAAGGACTCCACTGCCGCCGCTGTTCAGTAGCTGACCCTGTAGTGAGACCTTATTATGTTTTTCCCTCCAGTCGACACGCGTCTGCCCTTCCAAGCTGAGATGTTCATCCAGAACGTGATCCTGGTCTTCTTCTGCCTGGGCGTCATCAGCTGTGTTTTCCCATGGTTCCTGGCAGCAGTGGGTCCCCTGGTGTTGCTGTTTGCGGCACTCCACAGCGTCTCCAGGGTTTTCATCCGGGAACTGAAGCGTCTGGACAACGTGACGATGTCACCCTTTATGTCCCACATCACCTCCAGTATCCAGGGCCTGGCCACGCTGCAGGCCTACGGCCGGGGCGGCGACTTCCTCCGCAGGTCAGGGCTGCAGCCATGGAGAGGGCGGAGATACCTGGGTATGATCCAGAACCTGAGGCTCTGAATGTGTTGTTGTTTTCAGGTACCAGGTTCTGCTGGACCAGAACCAGGCTCCCTTTTACCTCTTCAGCTGTGCGATGCGCTGGCTGGCAGTCCGTCTGGATGTCATCAGCGTGGCTCTGATCAGCATCACCGCCCTGATGATGGTCCTGATGCACGGCCAGATCCCTCCTGCCTACGCCGGCCTCGCCATCTCCTACGCCGTCCAGGTACCCTGAAGACATCTTTCTGTACTGAGACACAAACATCCCAACAGCTGGACATGAGACATGAAACTGTCCCTCCCCAGTTAACAGGGTTGTTCCAGTTCACGGTCCGACTGGCCTCCGAGACCGAAGCTCGCTTCACCTCAGTTGAGAGGATCCACCACTACATCCAGGTACTGGGAGCACGCTCTGGTCTTACTGGTCTCACTGGTTCAGGGTTTGTCAGTTAGGTCGGTGGTTAGATGGTCCAGCACAGTTATCAGTATTAGTGATCAGAGTCCTGAACTGGGTTCTTAATCCAGTGGAGATCTAGATCTCAGAGTCTGATTCTGGACCACCAGAATGTTTTTATCATGTCCGCGCTGCAGGAACAAAACCAGTCAAAGTTCTTCAAACCTGTCCTGAGACTTTGTATATGTCCTGATAACTGTGGCCAGAGGCCTCATGTTTTCAGTTATATTTAGGTTGTTGTGGTCAAAGGTCAAAGGTTAAATGGACTTTGTCTGTTGCATTCTTGTAGACATGATTCTCAAGAATATCGTGAGGGAATTTCTCCAAATTTGGCACAAATATCCACTTGGACTCAAGAATGAACGGATTAGAATTTAGTGGTCAAAGGTCACTGTCAGTGTGACCTGGTTTATCTCATTCTTGTTAAAGGATATCTCAAGAAGGTCTTGATGAAAAATTTCTCAAATTTGGCACAAACACCCACTTGGACTGAGGAATGAAGGACCTGAGGGAATTTCTTCAGATTTGGCATCTGTTGATGTAGTGAATACAAACAGGAAGTTGTGGTTCCTCTGGGGGCGCCCTCAGAACTGTTTGGTCTCAAAATGTGTCCAGGGACCATTTAAAGGTGGCTCAGGGTCTTGAAACAGGAAGGAGAACAGTCCATGTGGGATTAACATGATCACCTGTGTGTCATTGAGTTTGTGTCCCAGCCTGGATGAGTCATCCTCCTGTCTGTCTCTCAGTCTCTGTCCCAGGAGGCCCCAGCCCGGGTCAAAGGTCGGGCCCCTCCAGCTGACTGGCCCCAGCAGGGGGAGCTGGTGCTCAAGGAGGTGGAGATGAGGTACCAGGAGAACCTCCCTCTGGTCCTCAACAGGATCTCCTGCAGCATCCGGCCCAAAGAGAAGGTGGGCATCGTGGGCCGGACTGGATCAGGTAGGACAGGGTCTCTGAGGGTCCCTGTTGGTGTCTCAGGTGTCTGCGGGTCTCTGTGGGTCTCTCATGTTTCTGTGGGTCTCTGTGGGTCTCTCATGTTTCTGTGGGTCTCTGTGGGTCTCTGTGGGTCTCTCATGTTTCTGTGGGTCTCTGTGGGTCTCTGCAGGTCTCTGAGGGTCACATCTTAAGAAGACTCTAATAGAGACACGTCTGTCTGTCTGTCCGTAGGGAAGTCGTCTCTGGGCGTGGTCCTGTTCAGGCTGGTGGAGTGCTGCGGCGGCTCCATCCTGATAGATGGCGTGGACATCAGTGACATCGGACTGGCTGACCTGCGCAGCAAGCTGTCCATCATCCCTCAGGACCCGGTTCTGTTCGGAGGGACTGTCAGGTAGGACAGACCTGAGACCTGGACCCCCCTAACGACATGGTCTGAGACAGTTACTGAGACCAGTCTGTGTTTGTCTCCAGGTCCAATCTGGATCCTCTGAACCAGTACAGGGAGGAGCAGATCTGGGATGCTCTGGAGAGGAGTCACATGAAGGAGTGTGTGAGTACAGACACACCTGAGGGCTTTGCCTTCTGTAGCTCCGCCCTCTGTGTTACATCATGAATACAGAGTCAAATGGAAAACATGAGACACTCTTTATTTGGGAAAATCTTAACTTAACTAAGGCTTTTATGCAGCGTTTTAACAAAGTTTAAGTTGTCCCCAAACGAGACGATAATAAACTTCCAACGTCCCCAAACCTGATCACAACCATAAAATCTGATCAGGTTTTGCACCTCGTCCACTTTTGTGTCGGGATCAGCTACAGACTCCACCTGCTGACTTCCTGTATGTCCGTCAGGTGTCCCAGCTGCCCCTCATGTTGGACTCGGAGGTGGTGGAGAACGGAGAGAACTTCTCTGTAGGAGAGAGACAGCTGCTGTGTGTCGCCAGAGCTCTGCTGAGACAATGCAAGGTGAGACACAGACAGGTAGACACCCCCCCTCCCCCCCTGTCATCTGATTGGTTGGCTCTGGTCTCTCAGGTGCTAATCCTTGACGAGGCAACGGCGGCCATGGATGCAGAGACAGACGCTCTGATCCAGGAGACCATCAGGAGTTCGTTCCAGGACTGTACGACCCTGACCATCGCTCATCGCCTCCACACTGTCCTCGCCTCAGACCGCATCATGGTGCTCAACCAGGGTCAGGTACTGTACCAGACCACGGACAGGTACTGTACCAAACCGAGGACAGGGACTGTACCAGACCAGAGACAGGGACTGTACCAGACCACGGACAGGTACTGTACCAAACCGAGGACAGGGACTGTACCAGACCAGAGACAGGGACTGTACCAGACCAGGGACAGGGACTGTACCAGACCAGAGACAGGCACTGTTCCAGACCAGGGACAGGGACTGTACCAAACCATAGACAGAGGCTGTACCAGACCATAGACAGGGACTGTACCAGAGACAGGCACTGTTCCAGACCAGGATCCATAACTCAGAGTTCAGTTTGATGTTAAACATTTTGGTGTGTGTTTGATGACAGCTCTGTTCTGATTGGTTCAGGTGGTGGAGTTTGACGAGCCGTCCAAGCTGCTGGCCAATGAGAACTCTCGGCTTCGCTCCATGATGGTTGCCGTGGAGACCAAGATCTCTGTCCGAGGATGAAGACGAGGATGAGGATGAGGATGAAGGTGCTGTTCCTGTACTGTATAAACTCTATGTCACTTCCTGTTTCTGCAACAGGAAGACGTTTTTTTTGTTTTGTGTGTGTGTTGGTATTTTCCTGTCAGCTGTTACTGTGATGGTGACCTGGTGCCATCTGATTGGACGTCTGCAGAGCGTCAGGAGCTGAAATATAAGCTGGTTATTTATCTGCATCACTTCCTGTCATGTTTATATTTTTGATGCTGTCTCCTGATGTCGTGTTCACACCAGGTGACGAGTGAATCACATGTAAAGATACGATTACACATGAAATCCTGCCGTGTGGCGTGATGGACAAGATGGACGTAACACGCATGACACAAATTAAGCAGCACAGAATTCACGAAAATTCACGTGTCTTTGGCACTTGCATACACATGATGTCACGCAGACATGACACGAGTCAACACAAAATATTCTACTGTTCCATCTTGTGAGAGTAACGTGACGCGTCTGGTGTGAACGTGACAAAACAGTTTCATGTACGATAACTTTCAGTGTGAGTTAGTTTAGTTCATGTTTCCTGTGAACGAATGCAGATGAAGAAAAATGATGTGTGTTGACCACACATGAAACACACACAAATAATGATGATTAAAATCATGAACAAAAAGTTAAAATACAATAAAAGAGGACGTTTGTTCAATGAACGTCAGATGGTTTGTGAGCTCCCTCTGGTGGCGCACAGAGGAAATACAACATAAATTAAATTCATGTTCTGAACAGCTTCACTCTGATAAACGTCGTCCTGACATGTTTCTGTTTCAGCCTGTGACCACGTCGCTTTATGAACGTCGTGAATTCGTCCTGATGAGTTACAAGCTGAGCTGTGATGGGGAGGTCGTCAGCACAGGTCAAATGAACGGTTTAAAATCACGGCGCCGTACCATCGACCCAACGACTCATTCTGAAACTCTGATCATCAGAGGAAACGTGTGAAACTGACCCAAAAACAGCCACTGTGATGATAACAAATGCTCCGTCATCGACGACCTGGCATTATTTATGAGTCTCCTGCGCTATGAACACGTGAACATGGGAACACGTGACCATGTGACTGTGTGTGTGCACACGCTGAGGTGAGAGGGCCGCACAACCTTTAAACCGGCTGATTTTTACTGAGACATCAGTGACACCTCCACACACTCTCCATTTTCCAGGTATTTCCAGTCATTTTTCAGCCCAAACATGATCTTTTCCTGATGATAACCAAGTCGTGTTTGTGCCTAAACCTAAACATGTTTTGAAACTTTACGTTTCAACAACAGCATTGCTGAAGCTACATAATAACGTACAAACATAACGTATCTGTGGTTCGCAGAAATGTTCTGTGATGAGGAGCGACAGAAAAACTGGGATTGATCGTCTCGTCAGTCCAAAGACTGCACGCTCTCGCGAGACAGTTTGTGCTAAAATTTTAACAGTTGTACGTCCAGTTGTCTGTTTGCTGAAGTTGCTCACGCTCTCTGGAGAACTCGTAACGTTGCGTCCGCTCATCGTCCGCTTGTCGTCCGCTCATCGTCCGCTCGTCGTCCGCTCCATCATTAGCTTTTTTTAAGATGCAGAGGAAGTCTGCGTCACATTACAGATGTTTTATGGATCTAAAAAGCAGCTTCAAACTGTCCTGGTGAGTTTCAGATTGATCAGATTGATCAGAATGATCAGCTCCATTGACCACAGATCTGTAGCGTTTAAGATGAGCTGACCCCGCCCTCTGACGTCATGTCAGATCAGAAGAATTGTTAAACTTTACATATGTGTTGGTGTTGGTGTTGTTGGGTTTGGGTGCGACACGTCGGCTCCTCAGGGCCCCCAACCTACTTTCAGTTTTGAAAACATTTCTGACGTCCTTGGTCGCTGAAATACTCGTGAAACTGAGCTCACATGTCGACACCTGTGAACTTTACGTGAACATACAGTGACTGATTTCAGTGTGTTTCCCCCTGATGTGAGGGAGGCCTCAGCTGGGACAGAGTTCTTCTCATATACACTAAATTTAGGACGCACATGTCTCTGAGCATTTCAGACATTTTTCTTTTTGGGTCTCATTAGCTCCGCCCACCCGGAAGTCGGCCATTTTGCTATTTGACATTTTCTACTAACTCCATAATACAGAAGATATTTTATGTAACGTACTTAAATATGTTCGTAACTTATAGAAACAGTTTTGTGCTTAAGTCACATGACAAAGGACTTCCATCCAAGAGGCTGCTGTTTATTTCCTGTTTGAAACTAAAACTCAACACTGACTTTTTTTAACTTGTGTATTAAAATTAATTTCCGTCATGTAGTTAAGTTATGTGACAAACAGAGGATGTTAATGCAGTGCAGCTTCACTTACTGTCCTGGTTTCATGACCTGAACTGTTGATGATGATGATGATGATGATGATGATGCGTGTGTTAAACTGAACCAGAGTCTGAAGTGACATCATCAACACAAACAGCACAAAACGCTGAGATGATAAAACATCACAGTGACCTTCAGATAAATATGTAAATAAAAGCAATAAATAATAATAAAATATGAATATTGATGGTGAGGCCTGCAGGTGTGTAAATCTTCTTCTTTTCTTTTTAAAACTCGTGTGTTTGTTTCGTGGCGTCGTCGCAACTCCGCAAAGATTTATATCAATGTTTCCTGTTTGGACAGAACCGCCAAAATAAAAGCCACACCACAGGAAGTGGAGAGTCCAGACATGTGATGTGTCACATGACAGCATGATTTTTAACAAACAAACAAACAAACAAACATGTAGAAAACAATAACATGTCCATGTGTTTTTATAACAGCCTTAGAGCATGATGACATCATAACTGCCTTGTTGTTTGGGGGGGGGGGGGTCTGAAATATTGTCAATAAAGTTATTTTAAGATGAAACATTTGTGTTTGTTATTAATGTCTTCATGTATAACAAATATTGTTTCTTTATCTCAAACATGTTTGATTGTGTTTCCTGTACACAACAACAACAACAACAATAAACCATTTTCTTATTCGAATGAACGGATGAATAACATAAAACTCAGAAACAAAAAACCTCCATGAATAAAATAACCAACACAAATATGACGTCACTGTGATCTTCATAAAGTTGACCTGTATTAGATTATAGATAATAAATAATAAATAATAAATATGAAAACACACACATAGAAAATAATGAACAAAAAATAAATAAGGAAATAAAATATATTTTTTTAAATAAAATTGAATAAAATATTACATAGAATAAAAAACAAAAATAAACAGGATAAAAATAAAATAATAAAAACTACCCATATTGAATATTTAGTTGTTTATTATTTAGTAATAAAATGATTTAGTAGTGAGATGAAATCAGATGTGACCTTTGACCTGGAGGTGTCATCTGTCACCTCTCTCCTGTCATGTTTATGTTCTTTCAATAGTTTTCTGTGTGAATGAATGAGATGAATGAGTGATGATGGTGACCTTTGACCTGGAGGTGTAATTGGCTCCACAGCGCCCCCCTCCGGCCTCTACAAACTTTTTCCTGCTGTAGTGACTTCCTGTTTTGTCCGGAGCAGAGTCTCCTCCGTCTGTCTGTCTGTCTGTCCTCTGCTGTCTCCTGTGTCTTTGTCTCATTGCAGTCTCCTCCTTCACCTCCTCCTCCTCCTCCTCCTCCTCCATTACACCGACACACACCAGCAGCAGACCCGGCAGCTAACGTCCAGCCTTCCGGGACCAGCTGGATCCAGTGCCCGGGACAGAGAGCAGGGAGCCGGGGCTGAGTTCAGCGGAGGAGCCGGTGTGTGTCTGATGGATGTTACATGAAGTGTGTGTGTTTGTCTGACCACACATGACGCGTCTCTGGTGCTAATGCTAATTAGACTCTGTGCTAATTAGCCTGCTGAGCTAACCAGGTTAGTTAAACTAGTTAAAGTAGTTAATGCTGCCGCTGATCTCAAAGTGCCTGTTGTGTAAAGCTGGTGTGGTGAAGTGTGTGTGAGCTAAAGGTGCTAATCTCGTCAGCAGCTAGCTGCGGCTAAAGTGGCCTCAGGTGCTCTTTGACTCAACATCAGCCTCTCAGCGCGTTGACTCGTGTCGGTGCTTCAAGTGTCCTTCAGCTGCTTCACTTCGCCCCGACTCTTAAATCGGTCCGTTTTTGAATGGAGTCTGGCCTGGTCTACACCACACAGGGTGCGGGTCAAACCCGGGTTAAATTTGGACCGAGTTTGGTTTAATTTCGGTTAAATGTCGTCAGCTTAGTAAAAATAGACAGACCGGGTTGAACTGGGTTATACAGGTGTGGTATACTGGGTTTACTGGGAGTGCAGAGACAGCTGGTCCCGGGTTTAAAGTGCTGTTGATCCAAGTGTCCTCACTGGTGTCTGTTTAGTGTCTGACTTAAATCAGGCTTTTCTTTAATGAGGTTCTGCGTGTGTTCTGGCCTGGTTCACACAGATGATTCACTTCAGTTAAACTGAGTTTAAATCAGCTCCTGAGATAAAACCAGGCTGGTGAACTGACCAGGTGCAGAACTGGAGTATAGAGGTGTGGTGTACTGGGTCTACTGGGAGGCAGAGGCAGGTAGTCTCGGGTTTAAACCCAGTTCTGGATCAAGTGTCTGAGTTAAATCCCTGAATGTGTTCTGGTCCACACAGTCACAGGTCAGGGTGAGTTCAGTCCTGAGCTGAAACCAGTATTGAACTGGGTTTACTGGGAGTCCAGAGACAGGTGGTCCTGACCCAAGTGTCCTTCCTCCTGGTTTTGTGAGTTTTTGGTTGAATGGGTTTTTGGCTGACACAGAGGGCTGTCTCAGGTCTGAACTGGGAGTAGATGTAGTCGTACTGGTCATACTGGTGCAGACAGTCGGTGGTGTTGCTGGTCTTGGATGTCTGAGCGGGGTTCAGTCGCAGGTTCAGCTCGTGATGGCGGAGCTCCACCAGACTCCCACCTCTCTGTGCTGCTGCCGTAAATCCCCTCCGGTCTCCGGGGCCCGCTGCGTCGGGGACTCCAGCCGGCCCTCGGCGGGTCCGGGGCCCGGGACCCCCCGGTGCCCCCTGGTGGACGTGGCCTCGGCGTCTAACTTCCGCTGCTTCCAGCTGCGACACCTCCACCTGGACCTGCGGCTCAACTTTGCCGTGAAGGAGATGAGCGGCTGGCTGGTTCTGGACCTGGTCCCGGTCCAGCCGGGGGTCCACACCCTGGTCCTGGACTCCCACCCCTCCCTCCTCATCCACTCCATAGACTGTAAGGTCCCCGGGGCCGGACAGGAGGAGCCGCTGTCCCTCACCTACCGCGTGGACCCGTTCACAGACTACGGCTCCTCGTTGAACATCAGCCTGCCGTCAGCCGCCGTGAAGCCGGGCCGGCTGATCCAGATCACAGTCCGCTACAGCACCACGGACGGACCGGCGGTAAGGACGCCACCACAGCACGTCTCACTGGTACCACTGAGTTACCTGATCAGTCAGCATGTTCAGGTCAGAGCAGCGTCACAGAGAATCAGGAACAAATATTAAAATAATAAAAATATTAAAACTGAGTGAAAAACAACTGAAACTTAAAACTTCAGGTTAAAAAGATAAAACAAGAATAAAATGATGACATTAGATTATAAAGAAAATACAACTAAATTAGTTAAATTAAAAAGCTGGACTGAGAACTAAATAACATCATTTTAAACACTACAACAACTGTAATAATAATAATAATAATAA